GCCTTTGGTAACTGATTTTTAATAGAAGTGTGATCAATCTTGTAATCATTATAATAATTTTTGCATTTGTTTGCTTCTTGGTGGTTTAAGACATTTAAAAGACTCCTATAGATTAGATTTGAGATTTTAATTAAATGATTAAGTGAGTTTAAGTCTAAAATCAATATTTAATGTTTGAATAAATTTTATTATTAAATTAATATGTTTACATGTATTAGTTATGTAAGTAGCATGTGCATAGAGGAATATTGTTTAATGCTTACATGCTAATTGTTTAATAAATTCTTAAGAGTAACAAATTTTACATTAAACAGAAATGTCTTAACATCCTTCAGACACTGGGAGGGTGTCCCAGGAGGAGGGGGGAGGGCACCTGGGTTTGCAGGCTGGGGGACAGACGGTTAAGGGACCACTAGCACAGTAGATTGGTTTTTCTTTCTAAACTCATCATCTTCACCCCTAATCACTGACAGAGCTAGTTCTTCTGAATTCATCATATTACAATGTCTCAGTGGACAGAGAGACTCAAAGCAATGGGATTCAGGGGTGTGGTTTTTTGTGGCTTTTTTTGGTTTTTGGTTTTTTTGAGTCAGGGTCTCACTATCACCCAGGCTGGAGTGCAGTGGCAGGATCACAACGCCCTGCAACCTCCAACTCCTGGGCTCAGGGGATCCTCCTGCCTCAGCCTTCCCAGTAGATGAGACTACAGGCATGCGCCACCGTGTCCGGCTAGATAGGTGGGTTCTGACGAGGTAAGGGAAGGGGGATGATGGCCCTGGGTAGCCAGGGAGTGGTCTGAGCATGGGGTGTGGAGAAGGAGGCAGACGGACAGAGAGAGGCGCTAAAGGAACAGCCTCTGCCCCATCAGTCATGACTGCCACTGAGGCCAAGAAGAATGGCCTGGAAATTATTTCACGTCCTGTTTATACCGCCTTCCCACAGTGGGACTTGTCTGGCAGGAGACCATCTAGAACCGAAATGAACCCATAGCAGCCCAGCCCACTCCTCAGAACAGACGACAGCTGCAGGCAGGCTCGCACCCACCTCGGGCGGACCACAGCCACGCCGCTCCTCGCGGACCTCCGCTCCAACAGCCGTTGCCCGGAGGGTGCGGACGTGGTCCACAGCTACGCCCCGACAGATGCTCCCGTTAACCGCCCATTGTTCCTTCCTCTGTACTGCACAGGCTACTGTGACCAGGGCAACACCCTGGCGTGTGACGGGTCTTCCCGAGGGCTGGTGCGTGTGCCCACGTCATGTGAAAGATCACCGGTTAGTAAAGGTGAGTGTCTTGGGAGCGTGCTCGCCTGTCCCCGAGAGCAAAGGAGGTGCCGACCTAGAAGTGGACAGGAAGGAGTCAAGAGAGGACAAGCCGGCCGTCGCGGTGGCTCACGCCTGGGATCCTAGCACTGTGGGTGGCCCAGGCAGGAGGATCGCTCAAGGTCAGGAGTTCCAGACCAGCCTGAGCAAGAGCAAGACCTGGTGTCTACTAAAAATAGAAAAAATTTGCCGGCATGGTGGTGCATGCCTGTAGTCCCAGCTACTGGGGAGGCTGAGGCAGGAGGATTTTTTTTTTTTTTTTTCTGAGCCAGAGTCTCGCTCTGTTGCCTGGGCTAGAGTGTCGTGGCATCAGCCCAGCTCACAGCAACCTCAAACTCCTTGGCTTAAGTGATCCTCCTGCCTCAGCCTCCCGAGTAGCTGGGACTACAGGCATGTACCACCATGCCTGGCTCATATTTTCTATATATAGTTGTTGGCCAATTAATTTCTTTCTATTTATAGTAGAGACAGGGTCTTGCTCTTGCTCAGGCTGGTTTTGAACTCCTGACCTCGAGCAATCCGCCTGCCTTGGCCTCCCAGAGTGCTAGGATTACAGGTGTGAGCCACTGCGCCCGACCAGGAGAATCTCTTGAACCCAGGAGTTTGAGGTTGCTGGGAGCTATGATGATGCCACAGCACTCTAGTCTCACTCTGTCTCAAAAAAAAAATAAATAAATAAGGCATGCTTCCAGCTGAGCAATGCAAGGAAGACAGAGGGTAGTGTCTAGTCTAGAGGAAGAGACAAAACCAAGACCAGACTGCTGACCTTCAGGTGACATGGAGAAGAGAGAAAATGGACTTGCTGGAGAAGACTCCAGGTAGCGACTAAGCCGTCGGGGCTGGAGAATCTGACTCTCTCCTGCTCTGTGCAGCCTGCCCTCCCATGCTTGTGGTTTCCAGATGGGGCCATGACCACGCTCCACCGCTTATGGCTGCGTGACCTTGGGCAAGTCACCTGAACTTCTGAGCCTCAGGTGCTTCACCTGTAAAATGGAAATAATAAGAGTAAGTACACCCTAGAATTGAAATAGCCCTGTAACACATTTACTTCACGGTAAATGGATGAAAGAAGCTATTATTGTTATCACCCACCAGTGTGTGTACAAGGGGAAAACGTCTGACTGAGTGCAGTTTGCTTAAGGAATGAAATATTTAAATGAGAAGCCAACTCTCCCTGCTTGGTCCTGGAATCATTTTCTCGAGAGCAATTCCCCATGGGAAGCATCACACAATGCTAACAATCTACTGCGAAGTCAACTCGGGGCACAGTAGCAGGCCAGCCTCGCACCATCGGGCTAAGAACTATCTTTCTATGGTCCTGCGGGGACCGCCTCACTGGGACAAAGTGCTGCACTAGGACCAGCCTCTTCTGATGTTTCTAAGGCACCATATCATTGTCTTAATTAGACTTTCTAACAACCCTGTGAGGGAGGCTGGACATTTGCTTTCATCCCATTTTAGAGATGAGAAGACTGAGGTCTGCAGAGTCAATGGCTTGCCTAGGCTAACCTGGTAGAGAAGGCGTGTGGAAGAAGGGGAGCCCTGGTCTCCCAACTCGTGGCCAAATGCTCTTTTAGGACAGGAGAAATGCCTCCCGCTACTCCGGGCACCACTTCTACCAATTAACCACTAACGAAGACGTAAAGATCAGCGTGCCAGCAGCAGTCTCCATGGTGAACTTTAGGGCCGTTATTGTATCACAGATTACTGACCCCTCTCCTCCTCTTTTTCTAAGCAACAACTGACCTTAAACCAAAGACCACCCCGAGGGAGTAGCCACAGCTCCCCAAGAGCTCTGCTGCTGCAGGCCAGCCCCAGCCGTCAGCGCCCAGCGCCAGGCACACTTGGCTCCTGCGCGGGCGGCCGTGTGTGAGCGCGTGTGCGACACGCTGGAAGGGTGTGTGTGAGCGCCTTGTCGGGGTCAGGCCCCGTGACAGAGCCGGTTGGTGTTTCTGTCCATTGCATGTTGTACTTGAACACTCCCTGGACAGATAATGAGAAAAACTAGGTTTGAGTCACTGCCTCAGTCACTGTGACCTTGTGTGAGTTACTTAATCTCTCTGACTCCCAGTTGCTCCATCTGTAAAAAGAGCCTTTTAATACTCCTGGGCTAATGAGGGGCAAATGATGAAATGCACGGAGCACGTCCTGCGCCGCGAAGGGCTCCAGCAGGTTTGCGGGAGCCGGAGAGGCTCTGGGAAGGCCACCTGCAGAGTGCAGGCTGGCTCTGTGCAGGCCTGCGGCTCAGCAGCAGGGCAGAGGAAGAGAGGAAGCTTCGCGAGGGGGAGAGACGGGGATTGGGCCGCTCCCCCCATGCTCACCGAGTGCTGCTCCAGCCCGCGTCCTGCTGCTGGGTGCAGCCGTGGACGAAAGGGACAAAGCCCTGTCCTCATGGCAATACATCCTGAGCCTGGGGAGCAGCGCAGGGCCTGCTGACACAGAGGTTAAAAGTGCAAATAGGAGTGAATACAGAAGGGGCACTAGGAAAGGGGACACAGAAAGGAGAGCCCAGGCCTGGGAGAATGGGCTTGGGCTTGCGGAAGAGGCAGGCACGGAAAACAGGCACTCGCCCCCCACCCTAGGTCGGAGGGACCAGGGGAGTCCGAGGAGGGAAAAGAATGGGTGAGGAGGTTGAGGTGATGGAGACGGGAGGCTGGCTGCGGGGAAGGTGTCCCGAGAGGGGATCCTCAGTCAAGGCTGGAGCCACGCACAGACACAAGGACAGAGACTCTCCTCGGAGGACACCCATGTCCCGCACAAGCCGGCAGGCAGCCCGCCCCCCGCGGTCCAGGTGTTTCTCCTCCTGCCTCCTCTCCCACAGGCTGCCCAATTCTCGGGGCCCTGGCTCATCCCAGGGCGCGTGGAGGGCGGAACACCTGGACCACTGCGGGCGGGTCGGGCACAGGGAAGAGAGAATCGGAGCCACCGCCGCCACCCCACTCCTGCCAGTTCTGTTGGCGCTTTCGTAGCCCGACCCTTCGCTGCCCTCTATCCAGCCCCTGGAGGGGACACCGAGCCCTGGGAAAAGCAGAAGGAGGGCAGGAGAGAGACGGCGAGGCCGAGCGAGAGACTGTCCTGGCGTGGGAATAAATACATCAAAGGCTGCTGCAGGTGGCATTGTTGGCTCCAAGCTATTCTCTCCCTTTCCCTTCTCCCTTTTCTCTTTTCCTGTATGAGGCCTGTGATTTATTCAGCAAGGGTTCAAAGTCTGTGGTTCTCTGGAGCACAACGTGCTCAGTGATGCATGTAAGGGAGGAGATCGAGGCATTGCCACTTCTAAGAAGCATGACCTTCTGGGGAAGAAAAGATAAGTGAAGTGTAGAAACTGTGACCACTCTCTGTGTTTCCATGAATTGCAGAGTAGTTATCCCACCTGCCCTGTGCCACCTTCTGGGACCTGCCCTCGACCCATGGGGGCGGCAGGTGCCAACCCACCTAGTCCTACTGCCCCTCCTTCCCCTTTCAGATTCCGGGACAATTCTGGAACCAGCTCTCCTGTCTGGCCAGGGTGAGAGCATGAGACTCCACCTCAGGCACCTGGGCTTTGATCCTTTGCAAGGGACGGGGACAACAAGAGAGCATCTGCAGGGGCCCCTGGACATGGAGGTGGCTAGGAAATGGGAACGTACAAAACTCCCTTCGGTTTATGCCCAGAAAGAAAGACGTCCAGAGCAGCGAACTCAGCAACTGCTGGTGTTTATTGGAGACCAGCCTGGGGCTGCGGGGCAGGGGAGAGGTGGGAGAACGCTGGAGACGCGGACTGGGCCTCGACCGGCTCATCCTGGCAGCTCGGCGAGGCACGGCAGGGCCCCCTTCGCTGACGCTGCCTTGGGGCTTCACTCCGTCGGCTCTAGCCCCACTGCAGCCCGGGGCTTGGGGGGCTGGGGAAACCGGCCGGGCCGATCCAAGGAGAGCCAGGAGGGCGGAGCATTCTGGGGGGGAGCTGATTATTGACACCTGGGTATAGATGAACGTTCCCCCAGCCCGCGCCCGGGTAGCGGCTAATACCCCCCCAGCCAGTAGCAGGGAACGGAGTGTCGCTACCCCACATCCCCGCAGGGTGTGGCATGGGCCTCGTTCCCCATCCAGTCCCAGGACCTCCCCCTCCCCAGGACACACCGGGACTCAGGGTCCCCCAGGGGTGACCAGACAGAACCCTGGGGATGAGAGACCAGGGTGGGCGTCGGGCGAGGACTTCTCCCTGGGCTCCTAGCGGGTTAGGACGAGGCGGCCGTGTGGACCCGGAGTCCTGCAGGAGGAGCGCGGCCTCGGCTGAGGGGCCTGCGGCGCGTGCAGGGAACTCCTCAGGCGGGGGGCCGCTGCCCAGAGGGAGGGCCACTGCCCTGGGGAAGTACGACCGGCCTTCCGGCAGCAGTTCCCTGGGACCGTCCTCAGCTGCCAGCACCTGCCAGGGATCCTCCGAGGGCCAGGAATCCAAGGCGGGCAGCCCCCCAGGTGGAGGCCATCTCTGCACCGCCGGACGCCCCGCAGGCTGGGAGCTGCCTGGCACAGGAGCGCGGAGCTTCAGGGGAGCCCGCGCCCAATCGCTGGACCTCGGCGCGGGCTGAGGATGTTCAGAGGTGGAGGGGCCAGTCAAGGACGGGTGTCCAAACAGAGGCAACGTGGACCCCGAGTCCCGGGGAACTTTCTCCTCCACCACACTGATGCTCCGGGAGAAGAGGCCTGAGGGAAAGAGAAGATAAAGCGTTTGCTCCGTAAAATTTGGATTCAATCAAAAGACTGCACTCAAGGATCCAGAAGGCCACATGCGACCCCAAGGCCCCAGGTCCCCTACCCCTGGATATGTGGTCCCCACGCCCTCCCTTCCCTGGTTCCCTAGGAGAATTCAATGTGGCCCCTCCTGCCTTCACCCCTTCCCTTAATTTCAGTTCCCCAGGGAACCCCAGTCCCCTCCTGCCCAAGGTCGGGCACAGCCTTGCACCTGGGAGAAGAAGACAGAGCAGCAGCAGGCCCCGGGGGGCCCAGCTCCCTGCCACTCGGCCCTGCATTCTGCTCAGCTCTGAATCTCCCTGGCCCCAGACAGCCGGCCCTTTATCCTGCTGGTGGGGCGGGCAACGGCAGGAACAGGCTGGGCCGGCGGTTGTGGAGACAATAAATCTCCGCATCCCACCCTCATTCCTGATACGGTCTGTGGCAACAGGTGCACTTGAATGTCCCAGAGGAAGCTGGGCGTCTCCCCGCCTGGCGCCTTTCCTGCGCGACCCAGGCGTCCTGGCTCACAGCTCACCCTGGCTGCTAGCCCTGCCCTCCCTGGGCCCAGTCTCTGCGTGGCCTCTCTCAGCAACGGAAGCACTAGGTTCTGTTCTCTCTTTGGGATCCAGATCTTTCTCTCCCAGCACCCCCACAGCGCCTTTGCCTGGACTCCACCCTGCAGGAGTTTTGGGGTGCAGAAGTGGCCCCCTCTGAGGAGCTGCTCCTACGTGAGAGCCTGGGTCTCGGGCAAGCCCTGTTCCCGTCCGCACGAGACGCTGGTGTGCCGATTCCCTGTTGCTGCAGTGACCGTCGCCACAGACTTCCAGCTCCCAGCAACGCAAATGTGTTGCCTTGCCGTTTGGAGACCAGCAGCACAACCCGGGGCTCACTGGGCTGCAATCGAGGTGTCCTCAGGGCTGTTTCTTTCTGGGGCTCTAGAGGAGAACCCCTCCCTTGCCCTTTCCAGCTCCCAGAGGCCGCCACGTCCTTGGCCCGCAGTCCCACCCTAACCCTCAAAGCCAGAAACAGCAGGCTCTTCTCCCCTTGCCTCGGCCTGACCTCCTCTTCTGCTCCCACGTCCACATTTAAGTCCCCACGATTGCACTGGACCCGCCCAGATAATCTGGGGTAATCTCCCCATTTTAAAGGCAGGTGCCTAATAACCTTATTCCCATCTGCAACCTTAATTTCCCTTCGCCACATAACCTAACATGCTCATAGGTTCTGGGGATTAGGGTGTGGGATTCTTGGTGGCGCTGGGGTACGGACACCATTCTGCCTACCACAGATGGCCAGGTGTGCCCCTAGAATATTAAAAAATACTGAGAGAAAGTGACTGTTTACAGATAACAGTAGAGGAGGCCAACCACGGTGGCTCACGCCTATAATCCAGCACTCTGGGAGGCCGAGGTGGGAAGATTGCTTGAACCTTGCTAACCCTAACCCTAACCCTGGAGTTCAAGACAAGCAAGAGCAAGATCCCATCTCTACTAAAAATAGAAAAATTAGCCGAGCAAGGCAGCACGTGCCTGTAGTCCCAGCTACTCAGGAGGCTGAGGCAGGAGGATCGCTTGAGCCCAGGAGTTTGAGGTTGCTGTGAACTAGGCTGATGCCACGGGACTCTCGCCTGGGCAACAGAGTGAGACTGTCTCAGAAAAAAAAGAAAGAGAGCAGTAGAGGAGGACATTTGGGTGCTATTGTCAAATGCCCATGATTTGATCATTGTTGGAGCTGGGTGATGGAAACATAGGGACTCACTAACCATCTTGTCTATTTTTAGAAATGTTTGAGTTTTTAATAAAATATTTTAGATGCCTTTGTTCTCTCCATTGCTTCCAGGAGGCCCCCAGAGGAGGCTTCCCACCTGAGGTCTGACCAGGAAGCGTTAGCTGATTTTACTGTTCCATCTCCACCCCAGGCCCTGCGAAGAAGAGTGAAGAGCTCCTCTGCAGAATGGGCCAATGGGTGGAGACCAGTGGCCTTTTTGAGTGACATCCACTGTTTACCCTGGAGCACGCCAGAGACTAGAGGAAGCCCCACATGGAGGGCGTTGCCCCTTTCCCAAAATTCCCACCCATGGAGCCTCCTCAGGCCTCGATTCCTGCCCTTGGCCACAGTCCAGGGGCCAGATGCGGGACCAAGGGTGATGCAACAGTGCTGACAGAAACAGGGCTGTTTGGAGCCATGCTGTGTCTTCAGTTAACCCTGCAGGTTGGCTCAGCTGCCCCAGGTCATTTCGAGTCACTGTTAATACATTTCTTCTGGTTCTGGACTTGGAATTTCAACAGTTCTAAATTTGGGACCAGCTAACACCATCCCATTAGAGCAAATGGGTTAGGGCTGTGCTGGGGAAGGGCTGAGTTCCTTCGCAGCCGAGCAGAGGCCTGAGAGGTGGCCTGTGCTCCGAGGTGTCACTCTTCCTACAGGGACAAGCACAGCCCACTGTGCCCTCCTTGGGGCATGAGAACAGCCTCGGCCTCAGCCGCTGCCCTGCCTGTCTCCAGGATGTAAGTGGCATGCTCCTCCAGGTCTCCCTGTCCTGCCTTCTCCACAGAGGCCACCTCCTCTTCTCCACTGGAGCGTCCCCAGGGGAAGAATCAGCGTCTGGTGGAGCAGAGCGGTGCCCTGGCTGGTGGCCGCTCTCGCACCCCTCACCCGGGAGCCACAGGTCCGCAGCTCTCGGCTGGGAGCCCTGCAGAGGCAGCAGGTGTGCGGCCGGAGAGGAACTGGGCTCTGTCCTGCCACCAGCTGGGCTTACTGATTTAGGCGGTGAGCCGCCTCGCTTGGCTGCTCTCTCTGCCCCACTCCCATCCCTGTCCTCCCCTCTTTCCGCCCCCAGCTCCCAGGACGGCGCCCGTGCAGATCCCGCTCAGTTGACAGGAACCCTGTCTGGGTTGCTGTGCCCCAGCCTTCCCAAGGCCTGGTGTCCCAGAAACCCAGGAGGCGGAGGCTCGAGCCTCCCAGAGAGGATGGCGTCCAGGTGAGGCACACCGACGGGAGAGGAGTCTGGGTGGCGGGAGGCACCCGTGAGGGCTCCATGCGAGGGCAGGGCAGGGCCTGGGGCTGGAGGAGGGCTGGGCACAGAACGGGCTCCCTGGAGCAGTGCAGGGAGGCTCCGGGACACCAGGTGGCCTCTGCTTTCCGGCCAGCAGGCGTTTGCTGTCCCCCTTTGTGGGAGGGGCTGTAAGGCAGCTGTGAGAGAAGTGCAGGCCAACTCACTGGTGAAAATGGGGTGCACGGGGCCTCCAGAGGAGGCGCAGGAGGGCACCACCAGGCTCTCCCAGAGAGGAGACGCAGGACTGCAAGAAGGCAGCAAGTCTGCGCTGAGCACACACAGTTTATTGAGCCGGCTGCCCAGGGCCCAGAGAGGGCAGGCGCCCTGGGTCTCCCTCACCCAGGGAAGCTCCTGAGCTTGGAGAGGAGTGGCAGCCGGGAACGGGGCTGAGATGGAGGCCTTGAGGGGAGAAGGGTGTTTGGAAACAGTGATCTCGGGGGCCTGGTGAGCTCTGCAATGGAGGTGGGGTGGAATCGGGACTGAGAGCCCAGTGGCACATAGGGTTGGTCGACCAGTTGGCAAAGAGAGGTTGGCGAAGAGTGGTCACTGTTTTCAGGTAATGGTTTGACTTTGCTTTATTTGGCAAAGAGAAGAGGAAGGGATAACTTACCAGGGCATCAGAGGGGATGGAGGAAGTAGAGCAGCAGTCTTGGGCGGGAGGAGGGAAACTGAGCTAACCTACGCCTGGGCCCTGGAGATGGGAGGTGGTGTGCGCATGTGCCCGCCCAGGCACGGGCGCAGAGCCTGACCTACGGGCGGTCCAGCGCCTCTCCCTGGGGTAAGAAAACTTCAGGGTCAGCTAGCTGGGGCCCCAGAGGCTTCACTTGGGCCAGGACATCCCGGATGGAGCGGCAGGGGATCCTTCCAGAGCTGCTAGAGCCACAGGGCTTGGCGCCAGTGGACGGATCAGGCTGGGGAGAGCCCTTGGGACCCCCAGTCAGCACCGAGGAGGAGACAGAAAGGCAAGGGTGGCCAGAGGAGCTGGACTTGCTGCCACAGGGCTGAAGGGCGATCGTACCACCTGACTGGGAGCTGGAGCTGCCACCCAAGGAGCCGGGGCCCGGGGGGGAGCAGGGCCCCGGGGAAGCGCCGCCACAGGGGTGGTGGGCAGAGCCGGAGCTGCTGGAGATGCTGGGAGTGAGGTGGACTCCAGGACCGGAGGGGGAGCAGGGCCCCTTGGAGCCCGCGGAGCCGACGCCACAGAGCCGGACCCCGCCAGCACCCACTGGCTGGAACACAATGGCAGAAGCAGCTCCCAACGGCCGGGCGCTGGAACCGGAAGAGCTGTGGCTGGGGATGATGGGGTTGCTGGAGAAGTATTTGCCCTCGGAGATGGGGGGCCCTGCTGCAAAGGAGGGGACACCAGGGGAGCCTTTGACAGGGTTCTCTTTGGTGAAGTAGCCCACAGGGTAGATTTTACCCTTGCTGTAGGTCATGCCTGGCACCAGATAGCTGTCCGAGGAGCCGCCCACCACCTCGTAGCCGCCGTGGGGCTTGTCCACAGAGGTGATGGGGGGGCAGGGCTTGCCTGGAAGGCCACCGCTGCTGCAGGGGACACCTTGAACCCCTCCGGGGCCACCAGAGCCGTGCTGCTCCACCACCACCACCACAGGCCGCTGGCCCCCTGACACTGAGTGGGAGCTGGAGATGTAGGAGCCGGAGTGCGAGACCACGGGCCCGCCGCTGCAGGGGGAGTCGGGGACGTCTGAGCTGCAGGGACGAAGGCTGGAGCTGGCGCTCTGGCCTCTGCTGCTGGACACACTGGAGCTTTGGGAGAAGGAAGAGCTTTCTCCAGACTGGGAAGAGCTTCCTGCGGGGGAAGAGTCGTCGTTGGTCGGCAGAGCAGAGCCATGCCCTGGCTGGTAGTTGACGAGCTCTGACTGAGAGCTGCCGCTTCCCGACGGGGAGGAGCCAGGTGCGCCCTGTAGACTGAAGCCGGGTCCGGATCCGGAGGAATAGCTGCTCTGGGAATATCCTGTTCCTGGCTTAAATAATGAAGATCCTGAAGAACCGCCCTGGGCGACACTGGATCCACTGGACCCACCGCTGGAGGAGCCAGAGCTGGAGCCGGAGCTGGAGCCGGAGCTGGAGCCGGAGCCACCGGAGCCGCCCTTCCCGGCGAGGCAGGGGTGGTTAGGGGAGGTGATCCGCGTGGGGTCCTTGCAGGGATCTGAGAAGGTCGCGACGCTCTTAGCCACGCTCCCTGGGAGGAAGGCAGTGGTTAGGAAGGCCCAGGAGTCTTGGCTTCTCCCCCTGCAGCCTGTCTCAGTCACCTGCCACCTGAGTTCTCCCAGGAGGAGCCCCGGGGGCGTCCAGGTGGGGAAAGGAGGGAGACCTGGCTGTCGTTGCTAAAGCACACGGAGATGGCAGAACAAGGGCAGTTCACTGCTGGGGGGCAAACTCCAGAAAAACGGAAAATGAGTCTCCGAAGTGGGAGGCCTCGAAGAGGTGCGCTGAAGACAAGAGGGAGAGAGAAGCAGCAGGAACGAATAGGACCATAAGGAGACAGAGTGGGGAAACTGAGGCTCTGAGAAGTGGGGGCATAAATCCTGAGGGAAATCATCCCAGGCCAGACCGTAGGGCCAAAGGGAAAGCAGAACATGGAGGGACGAGAGGAAGGGAAATATAAAGAAGAGAGACTCTGGGGAGACAGAAACCCGTGGCGGTGGGGCGGAAGTAGGGAAGGACACTTGGGCCTAGACCCGCCGCCGGCCCCCATGAGAGTCCACGCTTGGGCAAAGGATGGGAAGTCTGTCTGGCGTCTCAGCGCTGGCCATGGCCAGGATGTGGGGTCACCACCTGTTGCTTCAGAACCTGCCAGTACCAGTGTGACGGGAGACCACACCCTGAGCCGCCTGCTCTCGCTGGCCCAGCCCAGGGCACGGGGCGAAACCCCACGAGCCTCCGAGGCTCCTCCAGTATCAGCGTCATCTCCCCGCCCAGCCAGCGCACCCCGCCCCGCCCCACCCGGCCGCCCACCACTGCTGCTGCCTTTGCTCCCCTGGAGGGTGTGGGACCCCTGCTTCCTTGCCCGCCCCGTGCTCCCAGCCCCAGGCCCAACTTACCCCATCCTTCCTCCGCAACTCTCTGCCACCCCAAACCCTCCAGGTCCCGAGTGGCGTGGACAGAGCCACATGCACATGCTAGCAAGTCACTAAAACCTCTCTGAGCTTTAATTGGTACATTCAAAGAACTGGAATCTGCCCTGCTTTCTCACAGTGCCACTATGAAGACTGAGGTCATCTACATGGAAGATGCTTTAAAAAACACTAAGCGTTAGATGTTATGGTTTATTACGGCCACTCATCCTTGAACCCTTCACCAACAACCAGATCTCCATGATCTGCAATGTCTCCACCCTCTCCTCAAAAAGCAATTCTCTGTGTGCTTCTCCATGCCAGACCCCAGCTCTGCCCCCGCCCCTTCGCTCCTCTCCCCTCCTCTGTTCCCCCAGACACCACCCACCCACCAGACCAGGGAAGGTTGCAGAAATTCCACAAGAGCTGTAAATACTGGTGGTCAATGGCACGGATCCGGGTTCACTCAGCCCGAGGTTTGAACCCTGGCTGTATTGCCAGGGTTCAATACAGTGGTCGTGAGCCACTAATGTGTGGTCTTGAGCCAGCTAATTTCCTAGCCTCTCCAAGACTCTGTCCTCATCTGTAGAGTGGGAATAACAGATCTCTCATATGACTCGTATAATGATCAAAAGTGCTGATGTATGTATGATCAAAAGTGTCTGGTTCATAAAGGGGGCTCTAAACATGGTAGCAATTATTACTACTATTAAATGCCCAATCTTCATCGTCTAGCACTCCCCTAATAAGCATGATAACAACCACCACCACCATTTACAGAACCCTCTAGAATTTCCAAAGCACCTGTCACATACATTATTTAATTTGAGATACACAGAGAGACTAGAGCTAGGTGTTATTATAACCCCATTTTAAAGTTTCAGAAACTGAGGCTGAGATAGTTGAAGTGACTTGCCCGAGGCGACAAGGCAGTGAGCAGCAGCCCCCGTCTCAAACACCAGCCTTCAGAGCCCTGCCCTTCAAGCTTGCTGGGTCCTCTCCTGGACCCCCCCCCCCCCGCCCTCCCACTCAGGGCCCCAGCCCTACCTGGCAGCAAGAGACCAGCCAGCAGCAGTGCCATCACCCTGCGCCCACCCACGTGCCCCATCCGGGGTGCCCAAGAGCAGCCCATCTTGGAACGGCCTTCTGACTGACAGGAGCTGGAGGACAGCCGGGCCTTTATGCCAGGGCTGGACATTCCCTGGGCAGGAGTCACTGTGGGGAGGGGAGCAGGGGCGGAGGGGGTGGGTGCCCGGGGGAAGCTGGCGTGGCGGGAGGAGCTGCAGTAATCAGCCTGGAGCACCTGCCTACTCAGCAGTGTGGGGTGCCACGGCCACAGGTCCTGCCATCCTGCCACCTGACTGGCCTGTCCCGGCTGCTCATTGCCTAACCCGGAACCAGGCACTCTGCCCAGGCTCCCACCTCCCCCGGCTGGCCGGTGACTCCCACCCTCCTCCACTTGCAGACATGGGCATTTCAGCTTTCCCTTCTGCGCTCAGGTGCCTGCTCCAGCCTCCACCCCATCCGACTCCCAAGCCCCCATCTGCTCCTGTCCCTGGGACCCCATCACTCTGCCTCCACTTTCCTCCTTCAGGCGTGAGAGCTGCCCCCGCCCACACCCCGTCTCCCCTGCTGCCACTGCCCAAGTGCCAGGCTGGCCACACGCCTAGCATGTGAGCCCTCCCCTCTCAGAGACCGGGCGTCCGCTTCCCAGAACCAGCGCCCAGCCCTCGCTCCTGGGAGCGCCCGGGACAGCGTGGGGTGCTGGGGCCCAGGCTGGGCTGGGGACCCCTGTCAGAGCTGGTGCTGGGTACTCACAGGCCACTCGCAGCCCCTCCCCCTGGGCTGGTGACCCAGACCTCAGAGGGTGAGCAAGAGACTAATAAGGCTAATTGGGGAGGTGGCGGCCCCGGACTGGTGAGTGAGCAGGAAGCAGCAGCCCGCTCGTGCTGGGCAGAAGAGGAGGGCCGGGCCAGTGTGGCCCTTAGATGCAAGGCAGGCCCTGGTCTGCTAAGAGCGTGGTGGTGTCCCTCCCTCCTGCTTTGGCTCGGCCCCACCTCAGCCAATTAATTGCTCATTAGTATTACCAAGAGTATCAGTATCGGAGGGAGGAGCTGGGATCCGTCAACCTGTCTTCCCTTCCTCCCCCAGGCCCGGTCAGACAGCTACCTGGGGGAGCCCCTGGCGCCCTCACCCAAAGCCTTGGCTTCTAGAAGTTCCCACCCCCTCACAAAGGCAGCTCTGTCCCTGGAGCCCTTGGGCTGGTCTCTCCCACTCTCTCCTCCTGACCCGCCTGTCACTCCAGCCCAGCGCCAGGATAGGAGTGTTCCCTGTCTGCTCTGTCTGGTAAGGTAGACACTGCCACATGTGGTAGCGGAACCAACTGAGGAACTGAATTTTGAAGTTTACCTAATTTAAATGTGGATGGCCACAAGCAGCTGGCGGCTGCCATCTAGTCCAGCCCTCGGCTTGCTGGTGGCACTCAAGGAGGGTGGGAGCTTTGCGCAGTGGCAGTGTGACAGCCAGTGAGGTTTCTGCGAGGCACGGCTATTGCTAATTGAAAGATTTCCCAATGCCCCGCATGACAGTTTGCAGTGCAGTGGGCACTGGGGATTGTTGACAGTCTCTATGGACAGAGTGAAGGAAGCGGGGCTGTGGGAGTCACAGAGAGAGGAGGCGATGGGACAGCGTCCCTTGAAGAGAGCTGATATTCGGGGGAAAACAAGCAACAAAACAAAAAACAGCAGCTTCAGAATGAAGATGACATGGATTCAAGTCCCAGTTGACCCCCTGGCTCTGGGCAACTCAGCAAACCTTTCTGAACTTCAATTTCTTCATCTCTAAAATGGGCATATTTTGGCTGGGCAAGGTGGCTCACGCCTGTAATCCTAGCACTCTGGGAGGCTGAGGCGGGTGGATTGCTCCAGGTCAGGAGTTCGAAACCAACCTGAGCAAGAGCGAGACCCCGTCTCTACTATAAATAGAAAGAAATTAATTGGCCAACTAAAAATATATAGAAAAAATTAGCCGGGCGTGGTGGCGCATGCCTGTAGTCCCAGCTACTCAGGAGCTGAGGCAAGAGGATTGCTTGAGCCAAGGAGTTTTGAGGTTGCTGTGAGCCCAGGCTGATGCCACGGCACTCTAGCCCGAGCAACAGAGTGAGACTCTCAAAAAAATAAATAAATAAAAATAAATAAAATGGGAATATTTTATATAATTAATTTATTTTTTGGAGACAGGATCTCACTGTCACCCAGGCTAGAGTGCCGTGGTGTCATCCTAGCTACAGCAACCTCAAACTCCTGGGCTCAAGCCATCCTCCTGCCTCAGCCTCCTGAGTAGCTAGGACTACAGGCATGTCCGGCTAATTTTTTATATATATATTTTTGGATGTCCAGATAATTTCTTTCTATTTTTAGTAGAAACGAGGTCTCACTCTTTCTCAGGCTGGTCTTGAACTCCTGACCTTGAATGATCCTCCTGCCTCGGCCTCCCGGAGTACTAGGATTACAGGCGTGAGCCACTGTGTCCAGCAACAAATGGGAACATTTTAAATAATCCTGCCTTGCAAGGTTGTGTGAAGCTCAAACAGGAAATTGTCAGAAAGAGGAAATGGGACAAGGGGCACAGTCCCCCAGCACAGGCACCAGGCAAGCAGGATGGGCTCCTCCCCCCACCCCAACCCCTGCAGAGTCTCCTCTGCTCCCCTCCTGCTGCACACAGAGCAGCAGACACAAGAGTGACATGGGGATGCCATTTAAAGAGACCCTGCCCCTCTGTCCCTCCCAAGTGCCTCCCTCGGCCTCAGCCCGGCTCCCTGCAGGGAGGAGGCTGGGCCAGCAGTGGGTGTGCAGAGCCCGTGGACTGGAGCGTGGGTGGGAGAAGGCCGGGGAGCAGCGGGGCCTGTGGCTTATTCTTTTCCCACACAAGCTTCTCCGGACCGGCCAGCGGTGGCAAAGGCTGTCTTGTTTTCTTTCTCACGTTCCTGCGGCCAGCGTCAGCGCCAGCGTTTGGCCGGACAGCAGCGCTGGAGGAGGCACAGTCTCTCCCGGCCTCTGCCAGGTCTCCAGTCACCCACGCGGCTGGCAGTGTGGCCACACTCCTCCTCCCGCTGCTGTCTCCTGTCCCCGATGTCCACCCTGTCCGTCATCCTGCCTCCCTGTGCCTCCCGCGTCCTCGACTGTCCTGCCCACATCTAGGCCCTCTGAGCTCCGCCGCGCTGCCAGTTTCCTGCCGAAACCTGTCTGCCCTGCCGCGGCTTGCTCTGGTGCTCACCACCAGCCTCTCTCCCTGTGCAGGCAGGGGGCTGGAAGCTGACGGGGCTAAGGAGGAAAGGGAGGGACACGGGCTGAGTGCCCACCTTCTGTGAAGCTGCCGGTCTGGTGACGACCACAGCAGCGCAGGGGGTCTGCTGCATTCCGAAGCAACAGTCTGCCCCACCCTCCCAGCAGGTGCCCGGCACGATGGACGGACGGGCTGGCAGAAAGTGGGTGGCACGCATCCACCCTTCCCCACTCCCCACTGGAGAAAACCAGCATGAAACATGCCTTCTGTAGGCAAGAGATGGGGATACCTGCCTTGTACTATGAAGAAGGCAAGTCTCTGTCCCCTCCGGCAAGCCTGTGCTGCTGTCTTTTCTGTGCCAGGCACTGGCTCCCCTGCGTGGCTTGTGCTGTGCTTTGGGAGTTGCACTGAGGAAGAAGGTGACTGGCTCCTTGCCCTGCAGGAGCTGCAGTGCAGCTGGCACACGGCAGAGGGAAGGCTAACATGCAGAAGGGGCAGGCTTGGCTTCGAGGCGAGGGACTTTCCCTGGGCCTTGAGGAATAAATAATGCGGAGCCGGGGGCAGGCCACTGAGACTCAGGTCCCTGGCGGTGCTTCCCATACAGGTAGCATGAGCAGATGCCTTGGGCTGGTGAGGGTCACAGGTGCAGGGGAATAGTGGGTGGGAGAATGGACGGCTGCTGGGAGCAGACTGTAGATGCCACAACACCAGACTAAAGGAACTTGGATTCTATAGAAATGGAGTAGACATAAGAGGATGCAGGGAACCGAAGGGCTTTGAATGGCCAAAGAGGAGGCTGAAGCCGGGCGTGGCGGTGGCCCACCTGCAGTCCCAGCTACTTAGGAGGCTGAGACAAGAGGATTACTTGAGCCAGGAGTTCGAGACCAGCCTGGGCAACACAGCAAAATGCCGAAAAGAGGAGGCTTGGGGCATGAGAACACCGTTACTGATTGCCCACTGTGAGCCAGACACTGCCCTGCATTTGGATGTGTCTTGTCGTCTCCATTCTCACAGCAGCCCTACGGCGTTAAGTGCTTTTTCTCCTTATCTCACAGATGAAGAAATTGAGTTTAAATTATTTGTCCAAAACAACTGCTAACAAGCAAAAACAGTTTGGAAAAGACTCAAACCCAGTTCTGTTGGACTTCCAAGCCCACCAGACCCCTGTATTCTGTGCCCCTGACACCATGCTGTAAAGGGATGGCAGGGGGTGGGTCTTCACCGTCCCTTAAACCCTGAAGAGTACATGCAAAAAAGTTCTTGTGTGTTGTCTAGAGAGGTTTCCACTTCCACCTATAGGGGACTGACATATATTTTCCTAGTTTAAGAATTAAATTTATGCAGACTTCACTGTGTCTGAAGAAGAATAAAGAAAATTTAAAAAAAATAAAAAATAATTAGCCGGGCGCGGTGGCTCTCGCCTGTAATCCTAGCACTCTGGGAGGCTGATGCAGGCGGATTGCTCGAGGTCAGGAGTTCGAAACCAGCCTGAGCAAGAGTGAGACCTCGTCTCTACTATAAACAGAAAGAAATTAATTGGCCAACTAATATACATAGAAAAACTTAGCCGGGCATGGTGGCGCGTGCCTGTAGTCCCAGCTACTTGGGAGGCTGAGGCAGGAGGATTGCTTGAGCCCAGGAGTTTGAGGTTGCTGTGAGCTAGGCTGACGCCACGGCACTCACTCTAGCCTGGGAAAACAAAGTGAGACTCTGTCTCAAAAAAAAAAAAAATAATTAAAGTTAGTGAGTAATGTATGTGTTCTGCCCAAAGCGTTTAAAAGCAATGTGCTCTGGACAAGGTCCCTGTGATAAACAGGGCTGTTGCCTAGAGGCATAACAAAGGACCTGAGCTGCAACTAAGCAAGAGCTGCCCAGCCCACGGCAATGGGGGTCTGGAGGCCACACGATAAACACAATGTTCCTATGATTGCTGCTTGACTCCCATAAGATGGCTGGTTAGTCAATGACAGGTAAGACCCCTCAAGGGAGGGGTGACCTAAGCCATGCAAAGCACCGGGGTTCAGCCAAAGATTTTAGGGGGTCACCCTAAGAGAA